CTAACTAAACCAGGCATTTGTTCATATTCCCAAGCAAAACAATCTTTGTACTCTTTTAACAAAGCGATTAATTTGTTACTAACCTCTTGGTCGAGCATTTGGCTGATGAACGTTGGGCGATCTTCTCCTTCATTGCCAATATTTACTTTGATCAGAGGGTCTTGTGCTTGAGCATATCTAGGTTTGGCGATCCGCATTACATCGTCATCCAGTTCCCTTGTAAGTACTTCCTCTTCTAAACAGTCCACCTTATTAACTTCTCGGCCCATGCTTTGCTCTAAATCGAATACTGCCAACTTATCCTTCAGCGCTTTTAGGGCTGTCTCCTCTTTCGCCTTGTCATTGCATTCCTTATTGAAAGCCATCGGTCTGGCTTTGAAGGCCTGAATGTCGGCCATTTGCTTTTGTAACTTAAAGTCCATTCAAGACTCCTTAATTATTCTTTTGCCAATTACTGGCTCTTCCAGGGTCACTATATTTGGCCTCATCTGTTTGAACATCTCAGTGAGTGCGTCCACTGAGAATGGTTCTTCGCTTTGCGTAACAACCTGAGTTTCTTCCCCGTCTTATACTACTCTGACAGGTCCATAGTTTCCTTCGTACATGAATTTTTTCACCGAGTTTGCTTCTGCGACAAAAGGCCTATGATCGGCCTGTACCACCTCAGCCTCGCCTTTGTCATTCCAAAAGATCAAGCATTGATGGAGCGATGAGGGTATACAGTGACTTTCGTGTATCCAATCTCTTCCTAGTAGCACGTTGTAAGTAGTAGGACCGTCTATTACAAAGAAAACAATGGTCCTAGTAGTTGTCCCTATAGTTATGTCAACGACATAACTCCCTTGGCTGAAGTTGCTCCTCCATTGAAGCTAGTGAGGATGACTTCTGTTGGAATCATGTCACCCTCTGTCTTTGCGAACTTCCTCATCATCCTAGATGGAATGGTGTTTATAACTGCTCCATTATCAACAAGCACTTTTGCCACTGGGACGCTGTTAACTAGAGCTTTAACGTATAATGGCCTCAAGTGTTTTGTCAATTTCATGGCTGGCCGTTTAAAAATAACCTTTTCGGTAGCCTCTATTTCTACTTCCTGCTTGTTTCTTGTTGAATTATCCCCCTGTGACAAATCGACGTGCAATATATCACGTTGATCCTCTGTCTCCTAAACTTTCTTCCTACTTCTTTCTAATGCTTCCTCATCAGTTACCCAACCTGTTGGAGGGGGCATTATTCTTGGAGGTGACCCATACTTTTCAGAGCGAGGCACTCTCTTCTTCCTTTTGGGTGTCCCGTACAGTACGTATAAATCGAAAGGACGCTCAAATGGTTCCCCCAACAAGTCTACTTCACGAACTCCCTCTTGATGTAGTTGCTTAAACAGAGTATTGCGCGATACTCCTCTCTTTTTTCTTTCTGCTTCTAAGTCAATTTCTTCTTCAATGTCTGTCATCCCATTGTCCTCTTCGTCGTTGTAGGCCTCTCTAGAAGTCTGGCCTTCTTCACATACCAGCACGCAAGCTTCTCCTTCATTGTCCTCCCTCTCTTCTTCTTTTTCTTTATTCTTGAATTCATTGGCCAGTAGGTAATTATTGGGCACTACAGGAGGCAACGTACCGAATTGGATAGCAAGGGGCTGATCTGGATCTTCTTCATCCCTTCTGTCTCGCTCAAACCTTGATCTCCCAGAAGAAGTTTCTGGCAGTTCCTTCATTGATTCATCTGTACCGGTCTCTTCACTATTTTTGAGGACATTTTGATTTGCTATCTTGAGTAGTTTAGGTGCTTTAGGATGTGGCATTCCCTGTTGCTGCCTCATCATCCGTCCGTTGTTTCGTTGGAAACGCCTTTGTTGGGTCCTAGTCATCTCATCAAAGGGTATTGTCTTTCCTGCATTGTACTGGAATGAATGCCATACATTTGGCCGGTGAGGTTGCGGCCTGAATGTTTTTCCATTATTTGCTGGCTTGAATTGCCTCTCAAAAGGCGGTCCTCTATAGAATGATGTACCTCACCCTCTACCAGGCTGAATGTTTGGGAAGAAGGTAGGGCGATGAGGATGCTGCCATGTCCCTGGCTTCTCCGTGTTTCCATTCACTTCTCTTTTACACCTCGCACACAGGACGTCTTTGTCCTTTTTTGGTTCTTTCCCCTTGATTCGTTCAAAGACACTGGGATGTGGTCTAGGATCTTCTTCTCCATCATCTATGACCAACTTGAATTTTGGCAACTTGTTTTTAAATCCAGATGTCACTATGTTTACTCCAAGTGGCTGTGGGAAAGGATTTTCGTCCACTGCCATTTTTTTCTTATCATCGAACGCAATTCGTCCTGATTCAATGGCATCCTGCAATACATGATGGAAAACCAAGCAATTGTTAGTCAAATGTGACCATGCATTATGCCACTTACAATATTTTTTACCCTTAATTTGTTCAGGGTTTGGCAATTTGTGCTTATTGCTCAACTTTATCTGCTTATCCCTATATAATTTATCGAATATAAGATCAGCTTTGGTCACGTCGAACGAGAACGTTCTAGCTTTTATGTTTCCATCTTTTATGGGCTCATCTTTGCCCGATGGTCTAGGCTTGGCCATTATGGGACAAGTATATGTATCCCCTTTGACCAATTCGGCCAAACACATTTCGGCCTGATCGTATGACTCGTCGTCGATGGTATGAACGTCAAAATTTGGGTCTTTGTAATAAGTCCCTTTACTAGAATTTTTCATTTGTTCTTCCTCTCTTATCAGTCGCTCATACCTAATCACATGCGCACTCAACTGGAAGAGGTCAGGAAATTCCTTGTCCTGGAATTTCTTCTTTAAATCAAAGCTCAAGCAGCCCTGAGCGATTTTGACAAATTCTTTTTTGGGCAGAGGTATAAAACACTTGCTTCTTGCTGTTTTGAACCTTTGGAGAAAACTTTCTGCCCATTCGTTTGGCATTTGACGTAGATTCGCCAAATCAGCCAAAGTGACTACAGACTCAGTTTTATAAAACTGAGCTTGAAACAACTGTTCCAATTGTTGCCATGTTTGAACAAAGTTCGCTGGCAAGTTGATGAACCAGGAGAAAGCTACTCCTGTTAACGAACTAGGGAAAAGCCTCATTTTATGGTAATCGGTTACATCACCACTATGCAATGTGAATCGCCCTATGTGTTCTAGAGTAGACACCTCTCCTAAACCGGTAAACAGTGAGAATTCTGGCACTTTGTACCCTCTAGGCCATGGATATGCTTGGTCTACCCAATTAGGATATGGCTTTGTGTACGTCGGCCTAATGACGGGACGCACCCCAAAAGCCATCTGATCCTGTACTATTTCCATAATCTAGTTCCTCAACATGACGTTGGGGTCATATGGAATTCCTACAGGTTGGTTAACCGGTTGGTTTGCATGAGGCCTGATGTTTGGTCCTTGATTGGCAACAAAATTACCATGATTAGGGCCATTACCATTAGCCTGAACATCTATTCCCTCACTAACACGGGGAATATTCTGTCCATTGTTTAGGACATTATCTCTCACGTTTGGATTACCCCCCAAGTTAGGCATACCACTATCATTGTTTTGATTTGGCACTGTAGTACCCCCTTGGTTTGAAGTAGAGGGACTAGAAAGCGGTTCTACCCCTTGACACAGATTTAGGACCAAGGGATTATGTCCCACAATTGTCCTAGTTTGAAAGTGATGAGGTATAACCGGTTGACATATTTGGCCTACTAACTTATTCATTGTTTCGTTCAACGTCTTTAGTTGTTTGGCCATGTTGTCATAGTATACATTCCCATTTTGCGTAAATCTTTCCATATTATGAATACTTCAAAGATTTACCTGTTCAACGACATCTTGCGTGAGTTCTCCAAGTAATGCACGCATGGTTCGAGGACTCAACTCCGTCATTGGTTCGTAACGACTGTTACTGCTCTGATTTTGTCTATCTGTTCGTGGAGAGGCATGCTGCTCCTCATATCGCTCGATCACAGACTGGATTCCTTCCTAACTTACTGCTTCCTTATCGGATCTTTGAGGCATATTGTTTCCCCTTTTGTACTTTCAACACCTAACACCACTGTCCCACTGGGCGTGCCAAATTGTTTCGCGCGGGTTAGTCGCTAACAATTAAAAAGGATCAGACGATTGTGTAAGGGACAAACCTCTGAGACAAAGTCCCAAAAAGGGGTGTTCTTTTATTGGCGATGACTTTACAATTGGAAATTAAAAACAACGTGCCTCCAAGGGGCGCAAGCACACAAGTTACTGAAAGAAAAGTGTTTAAGTCTAAAAACTAAGGAAATGAAAATTACATGTTCTCTGTTCGAGAGTTTTGGACTCGGTCCTTTGCTTCTATGTCCTTTCTCCCTTTTATACTTCATGGATGATCTCTTTGTGATCAACTGCTCTAAAAACTGCTTGATCGTCCTATAACTACCCACTTTCTTCGTAATGGCCAACTTGTCATGAAAACTGCCTTTTTTAACTGCTGCCATTACCCTTCATCGTTCAACCGCTTTCGATTGAATTCCTTGAATCGTGGAACGTGATAGGGCTGCTTTAATAACTGCTTTGATAACTGTACTTCTTGATAACCACGACGCTTTATGTTTGTTAAGACCTTGGGTGACTTGAAGGTTTGGGCGAGAATAGAGTAACAGATCTGGGCGACTGTATGACACTCCATTCGCTCAGATTCTGAGCGACTTGCGAACTTGGGCGATGGCGTTACCGCGTTCTTGGGCCTCCTTATTTGGGCCTTCATCTTGATTTGTTCGATTGGGCTTCATTCTTTGGGCTATCTGATTTGAGGATCCTCCAATTGGGCTTCACTCCTTGGGCTGTTCGATTTGGGCTGAATTTTTATGTGTCAACAGATTTTCTAAAGTTCTCACGCATTTTAAGAATTAGTACGGTTTTAAATTTATTCTTTATTATAGTATATTTTCCCTTTTGCTCTGCATCACCTTGTTTGTCATTATAAAATCATTCTTATTTTAATAATATATGTTAGAACCACAGATATCTGTATTTTAATTTTTAATACCATAAAATGTATTCGCAGGAAGCATTCCATACGAAGTTGGAAACTCATCGGCACTTCAACAATTTATTTGTGTTCAAATAACTTAATAGGTACCAGTCTACTAATTAACGTTTGGTATTCATTAATTTGATCTTGCTGACAACCAACACAATGCAGGTGAAATTCCGCATTCAATTGGCAATTTATCAAATTTGAAGATTTTGGATATGTCCCAAAACAATCTTCATGGTCCAATACTTGCAGCCATCTTCAATCTCTCCATGTTAAAAGTACTTGCTTTAGATGTTAATAGTATATTTGGGAATCTTCCATCTTCAATTGCCAATGGGCTTCCTAATCTCGAAGGTCTCTATCTTGGTGGCGATCAATTGAGCGGAGAAATTCATGCCTCTGTTTCAAATTTTTCTAAGCTTATCCACTTGGATCTTAGTTACAACTCTTTCAATGGACGAGTGCCCATGAATCTTGGGAATTTACAGAACCTACAAAAACTCGGATTGGATAATAATGAGTTGACAAATGATCCTTCAATGATCGAATTGGATTTTCTTATTTCATTGAGAAATTGTAAGAATTTGAAGATCATACAGATCGGATTAAATTCTTTTCACGGATTATTACCAAAGCCTTGGGTAATTTGTCAACATCTGTTGAAATTTTCACTGCCGATTATACTGGCATTAAAGGTATCATTCCTAATGAAATTGGTAATATGAGCAACTTGATCGAGTTAAACATTGGAGGCAATGAATTGACAGGAACGATCCCTGACACATTGGGTCAATTAAGAAAATTGCAAAAGTTAGGACTTGGTTTCAATAAACTAGGGGGGTTGGTACCTTCCAACCTTTGCAATTTGGTAAATCTATATCATCTACGTTTGAGCAATAATAAGCTTTCTCAACAGATACCAACTTGTTTAGGAAATCTTACCTCTTTACGAGAAATGTATTTAGATTACAACTCATTGACTTCCACTATCCCATCCACACTTTGGACTAACAAGAAAATTCTGATTTTGAGTTTAGCTTATAATTCGCTGAATGGGTCATTGGCTTTAGAAATTGGAAGCATTAAGAACATGAGAGAGTTATACTTATCAGGAAATCAGTTTCAGGTGATATTCCAAGCACTCTTGGGCAACTTCAAAATTTGAAAAATCTTACATTATCGAACAATTAGTTACATGGTCATATACCTGAGTCGTTTGGGAATCTGATTTCATTGCAAAATTTGGATCTTTCCAAAAACAATCTCTATGGTGTAATCCCCAAGTCATTGGAGAAACTTGAGGACCTTGAGTATTTCAATGTTTCATTCAATGAAGTTAGTGGTGAAATTCCAGGTGGAGGGCCTTTCAAAAATTTCAGGTCAGAATTTTTTGTAGGTAATAGAGAATTGTGTGGAGCATCTCAATTTAAAGTCAAGCCGTGCAAAAATAATACAACTAGATTGTCAAGCAATACTAGAGTTTTGAAGTACATTTTACTACTAGTTGCTATTGTATTGAGTTTGGCCATTAGTGTGGTTTATGTAATAAGACACGGTAGCAGAAGTACGGTTCTGCTAGCTCACTCTACTTCCCCCATCATTGTCAAGAGGATTTCATATTATGAAGTTCTAAATGCTACCAACAATTTTGGTGAAGAGAATCTTATTGGTGAAGGCAGTATCGGGTTAGTGTACAAGGGAATATTTTTAGATGGAATGATAACTGCAATTAAGGTTTTTAATCTAGATTTGGAAGATGCAAACCAATGATTTGATACCGAGTGCCAAATATTGTGCAACATTCATCATAGAAATCTTGTCAAGATAATTACAAGTTGCTCTAACCTTGATCTGAAAGCCTTGGTGCTGGAATATATGCCTAATGGAAACCTTACAAAATGGCTATCCCCGAGCAACTATTTCCTAAATATGTCTCAAAGATTGGAAATAATGATAGATGTGGCATCCGCACTCGAGTATCTACATCATGGGTGTCCCTTTCCAATTGTTCATTGTGATTTGAAGCCCAACAACATACTTTTAGATGAAGATATGGTTGCCCATGTTGGAGACTTTGGCATTTCCAAGCTTTTAACTGAAGACCAGAGAATTTCAATTACCAAGACGTTGGGGACCATTGGATATATGGCTCCAGGTAAATGATTTTGTCAACTACTTATATATATATATATATATGTTAAATGCTATACACTATGTTGAATTACTATTAAAAATAATTATGGCCCGTGCAATTAGTTTTATACTAACATATGCAGTGCAATTATGTAAATTGAATAAATTGCTTTGTAGCAAATTTAGTAGAAAGAGTTCAAGAACTGTCGTGAATTGATAATCATGACATACAACTTACAATTGGTTTAATACACATGTATACCCATGAATTACGTAGAAAATAATCATTGGTCCGTTGGTGAAAAAAGAAAATCACGACTTGAAAGAAAACTCTATGCATACACATGAAAAAATATTACTATATTACTATAAAATAGAGAGAAAAGGGAGATGAAAGTAAAGAAGTCAATAGACTTTTGTGTATTTTATTGATAACCAAAATTCTCATATTTATAGGAAAGAATTAGGTCGGTAGTCATAATTAACATACATGGGCATGATGTTCATCTACCAATAAACATATAACTTACAAAATATGTTTAATTAGGATAATCATATTTCCACAACAACTTTTATTATTTACACCATATTCTAATTTTGCTTAAGGTCCTTAATCTTTGCTTAATATAGCATTTATTCTCCATTTTTTTTTCAATGAATTTTTATCCTCTACATTTCATTAATTAGTACACATCATCAAAATTCTTCAGGAGGACGTAAGACAACTTACTTATCCATTATATATTTTTTTATAAAAAGAAATGCAAAAGTACGATATAATACATTTTTCCTCATTTCAAAAGCAAGTAAACATATATTTTGACAGAAATCATCATCAAGGACCAGATATGTTGCGAGGTGATGGATATTGAAGCTAAGAATTAGACGAAAAAAGTTAAGAATATAAATGTTATAATGAGAAAATATTGAGGACCTTAACTCCAATTAAAATGTGGAGTTAGAAGAAAAAATTTGGTGTGAATATAATTAGCCATGTTATTAACCATTATATTGCTTGCTAACAATATATTAGTGTATTAGTATTGGTTCTCATTTATTTATTTGTCATTTAACATTTCACATGTTAATTTGATCACGTATGCCAATTTTGTAGAGTATGGATCTATGAGATTAATATCGACTATGGCAGATGTTTATAGCTGTGGGATATGCTGATGGAGACATTTACCAAAAAGAAGCTGACATATGATATGTTTGTTGGAGAGTTCATAATGAGGAAATGGGTGTTCGAATCATTCCCCAATGCAATAATGCAGATAGTGGATGTTGATCTAGTGAATCCAGTTGAAGACAATATTCAAGCCAAAGAGATCTGCTTTAGATCAATCATGGGACTAGCTCTAGAATGCACAGCTAACTGGCCCAACGAGAGGCTCAATATGAAAGATGTTCTAACAAGGCTCAAGAAGATCAAAACTGAATTTTGTAAAGCATAATACTGAGGTAGATTTAGATGAAGAGGTTTGTTTCTTAATTAAATTTGCTTTTTCCATCTCGTAAGAACACAAAAAGATAAATGTTTGAGCTAAAATTTTATTAATGAAATCAAAACCTATTTTAGTTTTAGTTGTCGTAGAATCTGGTCGTCATATTAACTACTCTTTAAAACATACTTCAATCATCTCTCATAAGCTTATTATATATTTCTATTACAGAAAAACTTGGAAATCATTTTTGGCTTTTGCCATTGTTTTATGGAATGTTATTGTGAGTTGCTATTGGGAATCTACTTATACATGCACAGCGGAATTTAAAATAATTTTCGATTCCCACCAAGAATCGCCTTTGTATTTAGATAGAAATTGTGATAAGATTGTACCTTTTCAGATCTGCAATCCTTTTGTTTTTCTTTTCGTTCCATCAACCTTGATTCGCCACCACAGCTGTCCAATTGTCCAGCCTCCAACGGTGATCCACACAGAGAATAAGGTTGCAACTTCTAGGGTTTTTTCTTGTGCCAACAAGAATAATGAAAACCTTATGGACCTCAAACCCTAGTTATGTATTTATATAAACCCAAACAGGCTCGGTCCGGTCCGGTCCAATAATTAATTAATCCAATTAATTAAACCCGGTCCGTGAATTAATTAATCCAATTAATTAATTCGAAAATATAAATAACAAATTCAATTAATTAATTTATCCAACGATTATTAAATTAACCAATTGGCAATTTGCAATCTTCCAATTCTCTTTTGTGTGTGACCCATTAGGTTCCCGACCACGATACCTAACGATGTGAAATATTATTTTGATTTAATCAAAATTGATAAATTAAAACACCATTTTAATTTATCGTAAATTCACATTCGCCGTCCCTGATTGACATCTAGCAATGTGTCAGGGCAATACATGTAACGGGAAATGTCACGTGGTATGACAAAACCAAATTCGTTCGTTTACCGTGAAACTATAATCCCTTCTTCAATATGATCCGATCAATTACGAGATATGGAGTTGTGTCAATCTCGATCATCGATCATATCTTTCACTCCACTATTAAGTCAATATAAATCGAAAACTCCTTTTCGACTTATGAGTACACCTTGGCCAAGGATTTCATCATTGACTTAATTGAATGAAACGCAGATCATAATCTCCTACTATCTAAGAGTGACGAATCCTTTATTGATCAATCACAACCTTCATACGATTCTTGAC